AAACCATAAAAAAATTAAAAGAAAGTTCATCTCCTGTTCTCCATAGAGTTGAAAGTAATTTTTCAACATTACAGACCACTGATTGATAAGGCTATTGACTTAGCTTCAGCTTCAAAATTCTCAAGATTTTCTTTTCAAAGATTTTCAAATTCTATTGTAACAGTTTTGTTTTTTCTGTTATAGCTATGAAGTGGAGAAAATAAATACTATTTACCCCATCATGCTCTCTCTCTCTAAAAAATAAATAAACATTAAAAATTAAAAAAAGAAAATAAATACCATTTAATTCTTTAAAAATATTAAACTTCAGTCCATTGATTTCTCCTCTCCTCCCCTTTGAGGTTAACCATGATTTTGTCTTTTTATTTATTTATTTTTTTAAATGTTTAAAGACCATGGTCTTCTTTCCTGATCCTTTTTTTGCTTGCCTTCCCCCCCCCCCAAGCTGAAGTGGTCCTTGTCCTTACGGCGAGATTAGCCTCCCCCCTAATGATCTGGCTTGCTCTCATTCTCCCGGTCTTCTTTAGGGTTTTTGCTCTATCAGTAATTCAGGCTCTTGAATCGTCAGTTTCTTCTTCTCACTTCAGCATACGAATGAATCCAAATCATGCCTGACACCTCCACCCTTACTCTTGGTCCTGATAACTCTTTAAGCTATTCCCTCCTCTATTACATTTACCAAGAGACTTCTAGAAAACACAGCCTATGTTTGCTATTTTCCTCTTAATCGGAATTGCTCTCTTAAGAGTCTCGGAGTGGGGAGAGGCGTTGCAACCCTCCCCAGTCAAAGGAGAAGCAAATATTACATTGTGTTACAAGTTCTATTCCTGGTTGGATCATGGTTGCTACTGGGCACGGTTGGTATGTGTTAAAATGTCACCCATGACTCAGGCTTTCTTTTGGGTTTCCTGCTCCCTGTGATAAGCAGCAGATCTAGGTGGGGCATTGCTCTAGTGGAGCACGCTGATCATTCATTTTTTCTTACCCTTCGTTCTCCCCCTCAACTCTTCCTTAGAGCAAATCCAAAAAAAAAACAAGATTTGGGAGGACTTCCTAAGCACCTATTATTATATTCCATAACTGTGCCATGGGACCTACAATTTACCATTGTACCTGTTAAAATAGAATATGTTTATTCTGATGCTACCATTGTCTGTTACCCGTACAGAAAGGAGGAATGGTCACTAGGGAGGGTTCTGACATTACTGGGTTTCTAAACATATGACCATCAAACCAACATTCTGATTTTCAGCATAAATCTTTGACTCCCCCCACCCCCAGCCTTACTGTGGCATGATTGATAAAGAAAAACTGTATATATGTAAGATGTATCATGTGATGTTTTGATATACATATACATTGTGAAATAATGACCACTATCAAGCTAATTAGCATGTAGTATATTCATCACCTAACAGTTTTTGTGTGTGTGTGAAAACACTTAAGATATATTAGCACATTTAAAGTATACAATATATTACTATTATTAACTATTACCTGTAGTCATGGTGGTGTACATTAGATCTTCACTGTTGACTTTCTCATAGTAATATTCAATGGATTCAAAATAATTTTTATTCTCTTTGCCGTCTATGCAATATGTTTGATCCTCTTAGTCATTCATTCTTGAAATTATTTACTTGGTTTTTATGACATGTAATTGTACTAGTTACTCATGGTAGCTCTAATCTTTTGGTCATATAGTCCTGTATATCGTTGCTTGTTTTCTGGGAAAATAGCACTGCAGATTTCACAACCTCAGCCATGATTTACTTGCACTCACAGCTCAAGACGTGGGCCCAGTCTCTCAGTTATGGTAACCTGGTCAAGGATGGGCACATAATTGACAGATCCAATTTGATACTGTCCAGTACGTTTTTGAGGACTTCACAGAAAGAACCTCTTTTTTTTTTTTTTTTTTTGCCCCTTAGACCCAAGTGGATAGAGAGCTTGGAGCTTGCTGTGGCCATGTGACCACCACATGGAATTTGAAAATGGAGCCAAAGTAGCAAGAAGCAAAATGGAGAGATGGAGCAAAGTCTTCTCTCGGTGACCTCCTGGAGTTTGAGTCCTACATCCAGCTACCTTGAAACCAGCCTATTATAGACTTTTTAGAGATAAGAACCAATAAAGTCTTCCTCTCTCCCATGATTTTGGCTTAAGCCTATTTGGTCTGGGTTTTTTTTTTTTTTTCCTTTGCAATCTAAATAACACAAAAACAAGACAATCTCTGTATTTTATTGTGTACATATAAATACATATAAATTCATAAATTCTAGAAGGATACATTTCAGAGTGATTATCTCTGGGAAAGGGGGGCTAAATGGCAAGAGAGATGATTGGTAAGAGATTTATGTCTTTTTTCTTAGGCCGCTTTACAAAAAGGATCAATCACTCATAAAATTAAAAACAAACATCCAATAAACAAAGACAACACTCTATTACCAACCCCATCACCCCCTCCCACAACAATGTCTATTGAATTAAATTAGTGGCCAATGTCTTTGTCTGATATTCAGGATCTGTAGCAGTGTAACTAAAGCCTCTCTCTTCTTTCCCTCTTCTATGACAGGTCCTTAGTGTTCCTGGAAGTTTGTAAAGCAAATAAACACACTTAAAACAGAGGCTTTAGAACTTCCCTTGTAAACCAATAATGATTCTTATCATTACCTTTACTCTGCAATGGTAACCAGTTACATTTCAAAATACATTTTCATGCTTACTGTAGGCAATGAGTAGCTGCTGCACCATGTATCTGTTCTGCAAATAAGAAACACATGGCACAGTCTAATCTAGAGGCTTGTCTTAAGTTGCACAGTAAAATGCTCAGGCCTTTTGCTTCTCTGGTGGTGAGCTTTCCATTTCACACAGCCTGCACCTGGGGAAAGGTTCAGGAAACTCTATTTGGGACTCAGCTCTGGAGCTAAAATAAACGTGGCTCCTTCCGATGCGAGAGAGAACGCTGCTTAACTTTCTGATGCCTTTTATTTTATTTTTTTCATGTCATATTTCTTTTTAGATGTAAACTGACCTTAGGTATATAAATGCTCTAACGATACAGAGGAGAACAATTTTAAGTAGTTTAGTGTTCCGTGACACAAAATCTGAATCTCCAGCTAGGGATGCCCAGGAGCACTCAGTACACCTGCTTGGAGTAAAAGGCAGTTTGTTGCACTCTGCAAGAGGAACTGTTACCAGTATCAGCTGAATCTCATTTGGGGAGCCTGCCTCTTTAGAAGTGGTGAACCTATTCACCACCAGGGGGCGCAGGTTTACTATAATAGCTGCGGAAAAAGATACGCTCTCACCTGAATCTTTCCTGAGGTCTGAATATTAAAGAGTTCCTTGCTCCGGAGCTAAAAGCTCTCTTTCTTTAACTGATCCCTGGGAATAATGATAGAGCCTTGCTTTAATGCCACACAGTAAGTTTAAGCAGTTAAACCCCTCTGAGCTCACTCATTCGTTTTGTCCTCGTTGCTGGAAAAGAAAGTGGTATGTTATGGAGATAATCATGACAGATAATCCAAATGAAAGCAATTTTGACAAATTCTAATGTAACTTTTCATTGAAATAGGGATGACAAAATCCTTTTCTCTAAAAGGAAAATAGTTTAGACTGCATTAAAAATAGGTCTCAGACTAGGAATCTTTTGCTCAAATAAAGGAAATAAAAGAGATCTGGAACTGTGAGAAATAGAATCCTATCCTGCTTTACCTCGTGCCCTCAGCCTGAAGAATGAAAGCGAATTAGACAAGGTAATCTTTTTTTCTCTTTTGAAGTGGAACTGTATAAAATGATTTACAAATGGTTTAAATCAAAGTGGAGGGAGGGGACTCAACAACCGGCAATGAATTCAACAGTTAAAAAATAATCGGTCACAAGTAATGCCATCTTTGCTTTGTCTCCAGCAAATAAGACACATCCTTTTTTTTTTTTTTTTTTTGGTAAGCATGTTGGGGGAGGGTGGTGGATGTTGCCTATTAAATTACAGATTGGATTTTACGGGTTTACTTTCCACCACTGGGAACTTCCTGGTTATACAAGAATGTATAAATGTAAATCTTCCTTTACACATCAGGGATTCATGGAAGGAATTTTGGGATTCACCTGGGGAGATACGTTATCTCTGTCTTTAAATAATTAAGGTAACCCTGTCTTTACAATAAGGATAAATTGAAGAGGGGCTGGCAATGAAAATAAACTGCTTATGGAAACGGGAAGATACAGCCCTGAATGCTCCTGAACAAACGCATTTATGGCCACAGTATTATAAAAGAAAGAAGGCTTGCTATGTGCCACACCAGGATATATTTTCCTAGACCCTTCCCAGCTTTAGCCATCCCCAGGTTGTTCGAAGGCCTCTCAGGGTTTTTTAAGGGGTTCTTTCCCTAGCCTCCCACACTGTGCAAGCACTGCAGGCCGTTTCTGCCGTCTGGAAGCCTATTATTTGACATTCCCACATTGGCCTGCGCCGAGTTGCGGCCCCCAAGCCAGCGTTCCTGGCCTCCAGATGCCAGTGCCATAAATTAAGGAGCCTTTGGTCACAGGTCGCCCTCCACCAGGAGGGTGGGGTTTAGAGGCCCCGCAAGGCTGGAGCCTGGCCCCGCCCACAGAGGGGGCGGGGCCTCCCCGCGGCCCTGCCCCGCCGGCCCGGGGTGCACGTGACCCGGGGCCCCGCCTCCCGCCCGCTCCGCAGCGCCAGCTCGGCAGGCGCGGGGCGTGAGTCTCGAGTGAGCCCCGCCAGGCTCCAACTCCGCAGCGCCGGAGCTCGGCGGGCAGCAACTTTCTCCCCGGGGCGGCCGCGGCGGCCGGAGCGGGCGCCCGGAGGAGGCAGGCGGCGGCCGTTGCTCCTGCCCGCTCGGGCTGTGCAGCCCTCCGAGACCGCCGGCCCGCGGAGCCCTGTCCCCCCCCCCCCCCCCCGGGAAGTCCCGGGCCCCTGCCCTATGTCCCGCAAGGCGAGCGAGAATGTGGAGTACACGCTGCGGAGCCTGAGCAGCCTCATGGGCGAGCGGCGCAGGAAGCAGCAGGAGCCGGACGCGGCGAGCGCCGCCGGGGAGCGCAGCCTCCTGGCGGCCGCCGAGTCGAGCGCCAGCCTGCAGGGCGCGGGCGGCGGCGGCGGCGGCGTCGGGGACCTGGAGCGCGCGGCGCGGCGGCAGTTCCAGCAGGACGAGACGCCCGCCTTCGTGTACGTGGTGGCCGTCTTCTCGGCGCTGGGCGGCTTCCTGTTCGGCTACGACACCGGCGTGGTGTCGGGGGCCATGCTGCTGCTCAAGCGGCAGCTCAGCCTGGACGCGCTGTGGCAGGAGCTGCTGGTGTCCAGCACGGTGGGGGCGGCCGCCGTCTCGGCGCTGGCCGGCGGGGCCGTCAACGGCGCCTTCGGCCGCCGCGCCGCCATCCTGCTGGCCAGTGCCCTCTTCACGGCCGGCTCCGCGGTGCTGGCCGCGGCCGGCAACAAGGAGACGCTGCTCGCCGGCCGCCTGGTCGTGGGGCTCGGCATCGGTGAGTTCCCTCCCCTGGGAGGACGCCCTTGGCCGTGGCCGCTGCGTTCCTTTTTGCCTCCGCGGGGGTCCCCGTCGGGGCTTGCCGGACCCGGGAATCCTCTTCTCTTGCTCCTTGAGAGCCCCTCTGTCAGTTACTCTAGCCTCTAATTAGGGCTCCCGCCCAGGTTGGGGAAGGGGGTGGATGGTGTTGGCTGTGGGCTCCCCTGAGCCCACGTGGAATCTTCTGTCACTCACGGACAAGTGAATCCGTGTGATTGTTGCATATACTGCCACTCATAGGAATCACAGTCATCACCTTGATCCAACCCTACCTGATGCCCTTCTAGGACTATGCGGGGAGGGTCTGTTTCCTGTAGCCTCTCACTTTATTTTTCTACTCCTAGCCCCTTTCCTTTTATAGGATTCCAGACTCTGAACCTGTCAGTCTTAAAGTCCCCGTAAGATTATTTCTAAAGTTAATTAAGGGATTCTGGACTCTAGTTATTTCTCTTTAGATGGAGTATTACTTTTCTCTTTTTGCTGTTACTGTTGTATTGCCTCTTGCTTTCGTGTTTTCCCCAAATGAATTCCTTCTCTGTTTTTCTAACTTTTTCCTTTAAATCCATATCCACCCATTTTCCTTTTGCCTCTCTTGCTTTCCTGTTGGGAACCAAATTATCTATTAAAGGTCATGTTCACTTATTAAATTCATTTAGGAGCCACTCCCACTGTGGATAAATGCCCAGCAAGATAGATGGTTGCAATTACTTTAAAAATGAAAGGATTAAGGTTCCCTTGGCATTGATTTTTCACCCTGGTTGCTGAACAGGGGAGGTACATTGGCAAGTTCATGGCAGACAGAAGCTATTTGGAAAGTGCTTGGTATTATTAGAAAGCACTTTTGAGGGAAAGCAGGGGGTTGAGACATAAATCTCCCTAGTAATTTTTCTAAGACACACCACTGATACTTTATAAATGTTTCATTTCATACTTCAGTTTCCTTTACGGTGCTGTTGAAAATTTTTTTTTTTCTTCCCTAAGGCTGGGACTTGATGAAAGCTCTTGAAACCTGGAACTCCTAGCTGTTTGTCTGTTCACCACTTGTTTGACATATTCTGTTTTGCACCCCCTTCCTCGTAGTCTCTACGGGGAAGTGAGTCCTATTTATACAATTCCACCTTTAGGAACAACGAGCCTAAACCCCAGCTCACTGCACTTTATATCCAAACTATTTCATTACTGACCTTCCTTTTGTTTATTGTACTGTTAGCGAAGCAGGGCAAGGCTCTCCATAAAATATTAAGTTGGCACATTAAGGTCCACGATGACCAAAATTACAGCTGAAATGAAACCTGTCTGTAGAGGAACTACATGTGCCTTCAGGACCCTTCGATAAATAACTTGTGGTTAAAGTCAAGTGACCAGGATTCTTGTCTCAGTATTCTCAGCATTCTCTGCTTGGGACACCTGGGCCATGTTTATTGTTTCTTCTGATCTAGTAACATAATTTTAGGTCACAGATTTGTTCAGTGAGACTGAATCTTCTGATTCTGAAACTGAATAATGTTTTGCAGAGATCTTTGAATGAAGCTTCCTCGAGTTCAGCTGTGGCAAGTATTGCGTATTTGGATATTATGTGTACTCTTTTTTTATCTGCTGGGAAAATTGAGCCCCTGTTGTGTGTAAGGCCCCCTTCCAGATTTTGTGTGGTAAAGAGTAGTAGGGTGGGAATAAAGCCAGGTAGAACTTGCTAGGCTCCATAAGAAAGTCTCTCCCTGGAGAGAGGGCTGATGCATTCAAAAAGGGTATACAGTTCCCCTAACAGAAGCTGGAAGGAAGCTCTTCCTCCTGGAATTGTAATACTGATGCCCAAGTAGTGTTTAACTGAGATGTGTGAAGGACCTTCTCAGCCAGGGAATGAATGAAGAAAGGAGAGCAGAGGGCAGGCTTGGGGACCACGGTGGATGCAACAAAGAGGATTCCGTAGGAGGACGGATTGGCGTGCAGGAACTGTAGACTCCTCTGTATCCCAGCCTCCTTCTGTGGCACCTGGGCTGCGTGCCTGGCGGTGCGTCCCCGTTGAGACATGGTCCTGAGCTGGTCCTGGTGTGATCCACCTCACTCCTCTGAAAAACACTTAGAAGAGAAGCCCTGCTACTGACTATCATACAGGCTTTCTTCACTTATAAAATGAGGGATGCTATGGTCACAAAAAGGCTTTGAAGCAGGCCACATTTTGAATTAGGATTATGCAGAGAATGTTGTACATGTAAAATTCTTAACAGTCATGAAAATTACTTACTTCCCAAAGGAGAAGCCACAGAATTATTTTTAGCTGCAAGGAAATGGGTCCCTAATATGACTGTTTTTTTCTTTTTTAAGGGACATTAAATCAGTTTTGCTTGTTTAGTACACTGAATCTGGGTTAATTTCATGCTATTCCTTTTTAAGTAATTTTTATGTGTGAGAGGTTTCTTTTTTCCATTTTTGTCTTTTGGGCCTTTTGATTTCTTAGTAAATGATGAATAAAACAAAATGTGGCTTTTGGTATCTTTTCAGACAAGTTCACAGTGATAATTTCTTTCAGAGATTTACCTGTCATAAATACAAAGCCCCTGGGGACAGAGCTTTTGTTCATTTTGTTCATGGCTGTATTCCCAGCCTATAGGAGGCACTTGTTGATTGAATAGTGAGGAGAAACATTAAAAAAAAGTTCCATTTCTGTTAGGGTACCACTTTAAAATGGTATTTTTCTTAAAAAAGTGTACTATCAAAATATTTAAAAGGCCATCTAAGGGTTTTAGTTTCTAACAGCTTAATGGAATCATTTATTTATTCACAAAATGCTAATTAACCTGCATTATTGATTCTGTCAGATTTGGAGTAGGCAGTAATTAAATAAAAATCTCATCCTGGAGGTGTCATTCTCTAATAAAACAGAAAGACCATCAACAAATTATTAAAATACAACAGTAGTTTCTCTAAGAGTGGGAAACACAGAGGACTAGGCAATGGATTCTTTTGGAGAGAAGTGAATAGAACACAAGTTCATAGGTTTTACCGAAACAAATTTAAACTGGGTTTGAAGGGTAAGTAGGAGTTCAGCAGATGAAGAGGGAGCTGGGAAAGGAATTAATATTTATTTAGTGCTTTAGTTTCTGTTAGGCACCCTGTTTTACATATGCTATCTCATTTAATCCTTCTAACTCTGAAATAGATGGGAAACAGATCCCCTTTTGGGGGATGTGGAAATAGGCTTACAGCAGTTAAATGACAAGGTCACTGGTACAAAGTGAAGATTACAAAAACAGAGACTCAGAGTCTTTTGCTGTTTATATCACTCTGCTGGGCATTTAAAGTAACATTAACAGCAGATGTAAAGGCATAGAACAATCAAAGCAGTATTGGAAGTATAAAGTGAGTGACAGGTGGTGATGGGGGTGCTCGTGAAACTGGAATGATATTTTGGGGGAAAGGTTGGGCTGATTAGGGCTTATTTGGACAGGGACAGTCATGGGAGGTTTTTAGCTGGAAATGATAAGGTCAGATTAAACATCCTTTGTATCTGGTCTTCCCATCCCCCCCTTTCACTTTTAAACTCTTATTTTCTTCCCCAAACCTTCTTGGCCCTTTGGATTTTTTAGTATTAGCAATAACTTTGCGGAGATAATTCTTATAGGGTGAGTAACGCAGAGCAAGTGGCCAGGAATTGGGAATAGGAAGGGTCTGTGGATCCTTCAGCAGAAACCTTTGAAAAAGATTACAGTGTAGTTAATCTGTATAAAATGAGTCATATGGTAAAAGACAGAAGTATCAGAAACCTAGCTTTAGTGTTTGCTCTAGTTTAAGGATTCCATTTTCTTTACAGGTTACAACAAAATCAGCTTACTGAGTGCTGTTTGAATAGGACATTATTTATTTTAGGTTTTTGTTTTCACCAGTTTCCTTTGGTTCCTTTGGTTTGTTTCGCTCTGGTCTTGAGTTGGGTCCTGGGACCCAACTGTCTAATTTAGCCCTTTCTCCACGGTGTTGGCATTTACTCTACTGCTCATTATAAGCAGTGATTTAGTGTCTGTGTAGGAAGTACCAAGAAGTGTCTAAATTCAGATATTCATCAATATTCAAAACCTTTCCTGGGAAGTGACGTAGTAATTTATATAGCACTGGGTTTATTGAATTAGTCTTAGATCTGTATCAGCTTCTCCTGCGTCGGCGCTGCCTTACCACTCCCTCTGCTGGAACACAGTTTGTGGCTGCAGCTTGTAACCCGTCTCTTCTAACCTGTTGAGTAATATTTTTAAAAATGTAACTTTTTCCCCCCAAATAGCACTCTGAATTCTTATTCTTTGACACAAAGCAAATGTAAAATCTTATTTGATCAAAACCTCATTCAGTATGGAGATTAATGTCAGTAAAGAATTTCCTGTAAGGTAAGCAAGGTTAGTCAGAATCAACCAGATTTTTAAAATACCAGCTGATGTAATTTTATTTTTGCTTTTTTGCCATCAAGTCCGTTTTTTTCTACTCCCTGACCTGCCTGTGTCCCCCCCCCCCCTTCCCCGCCCCTGGACCAGTTGCCTTTTCTTTCAGTTTCATCTTTTAAAGCAGGATTTCTTTGTTGGATTTATGCTTTCTACCAGCTGACACTGACATGTAAAGTAAAACTTTGCTTCACTTCCTCTGTTTCCTTGTTTCACACACACTGTGTATTTGAACCTCCCCCCCTCCTCCTTTCTCTCTGGTGGCATTGACATTGCAGAGTTACAGTGAGGATTATAACCTAATTATGTTGGCCTAATAGTGTTGCAGCCACACCTTCCTTGAGTGAGTGACAGTAAGATGACAAGAAATCTGTTCACATGAGTTCTATGAGTTGTTCATGTGACTTCAGTATAAAACATTCTTTTTCATCCTCATTTCTTTCTATATTTTAAACTCAAAGCCAGAGCACAGTTTAAGTTGACGGACTTCACGCTGGTGTCTTTGGCTTTCACACATCTAATGATCTAGAACCTGCTGGTAGATCTCAGATAGCAAGCAGTCTTTGCCTTCTTACTGAAAAGCCCAGGAGACTATCATTCTTTCTTTTTCTGATCAAACTTGGTTCCTTTATGCGATCCTTCCTGTCTACAACTCTTTTCATTTCTAACTTTCTTTTGACCTTCACA